TAAGCTTGTGGGGGCTTCTTTATATTATTCTAACCGCCGCAGCAGTACTTTAAATACTGTGTGTGATACAGGCTATCAAGTGCATGCGCCCAATCGTGGACGAGAAGCTCCAGACGAGCGCTTGCGGGCCGGGTCAACGCGCTCCCTCAGGCTGTATGAGGATGATTCCGGTCTCGGTTCAGTTCTCCGAGCTCCATGCGATATATGTGAACGAGTGAGGGTGCTCCATACCGCGGGGTCGACCCCACCCTCCTTCAGGCCGCCACGGTAATAATCTCCGGCCAGGGATTACTCGCAATTCACAGCGTTTCCAGACGCAACTACTATTGCATATGTTCCGTCCCATTCACAGGCGCTACCCATTCAACCGACATTTCACTATACCGTACGCATATAAGAAAAAGAGAACAGTGACAGTGGTTAACAAATTGTCAACGTGCCAAAGTGTCAATACCCCGATATGGTCCCGTAGACCTCTTATCCTTAGACTTGTCATCCTGCGAGGTCTATGATATTGTTTTTAATAATAACGGGTGGTAGAAGAAGAATCAAATGGACAGCAGTGATATAAAAGGTAAGCCTCATGATTATCCTTCGAAGTAACTAGGTCGCAGAGCTCCTTATTAACTAATTTATAACAGATGCCGATCCTTCCATCAGATATTTTCTCCTGCCTCAATCCGATACCAGTCGCCTCCTTCCGATACCAGTCACATCCTAAAGACTCAGGCCCTTCCCTTTGAGCCTTATTTCATCACTATCCAATACGAATCGATCGCCTCCTTCCAATACCATTGACCTCCATGAATAGAACCAAAAAAAGACCCGTCACCTTCTTCCGATAGCAGTCGTGTCCTGAAGACACATGCCCTTACCTCCGTATGAGCCTAATCTCATCAAGTATCGGTTCCACAATTGTAGAAAAGTCCGATGAATGGGATGCCCATAAGGCAGACGTCCGGAATATCCGAGGTGTCCATCAGATGGGATACCCATTCGATGGATGTCCGGTGAATGGGTAGCATCCGGAATGGGACAGAAAACCCGCCAAGGCTATCTTTTGTATGGCATGCAATAGTGGTCGCGTCCGGAAACGCTGTGAAATTGCGAGTATATATGATTGAGCCTCGATAAGGAACGTGTATAATCGAGCCCTGTTCCTTATATCAGATTATTCCTTATGGTGAATTCGAAAGTAAGGGTTAGGAATTAGAAAATCAGGGTTAGGGCTTCTTTCGGTTACTTTCCACTAATCGTAACTTCATAGCGTTTCCGACCACGACCGATATTGAGTACCGTACAAAAAAGCGTCAAATCGACCTGTTTCGATGTCATGCAATATTGGTCGTGTTCGGAAATACTATAAAATTAGGAGTCATTCCCTGTGGATCCAGTACGAATTTCCTCCCGCCTCACCTTGCCTAGTAAGGTTCCTTATAGCATCTCGTATGCGAACATGAAGGTGGCAAGGATATTTATCCAGAGAATTCTCATCCAGTACATGAACACAAATCATTCCTTATATTAACGTATATTTGGTGGGAGATATTCATTTGCCGGATGCCCGTATGGCGAGGTGACTGTATTTATGGAGTTACAATCACCCTCTGATGTATCAAATGCCAACATACCGAATATTTCCTTTCCCGAACCACTTGGGCCGTCAGCTTTCTCTCCCCGGCAAAGTGTTTAGTCTGCTATACCGAAAGGTCTGCTGTACCCAACGGAGTATGGCCCAAAACCTCAGGATTAGATACCCGAGACCTTTGTGGATATCATATTTCACTTTTTGAATGCCATACTTAAGCATACGCCATCAATTCCTAGAATTACTTCTTAGAAATATTGCTCATATTACATACGCTGATATCCCCTAATGTATACAGGAGAGTCTCTGATGTTTAGATTTGGTGTTCGTACCTCTAACGGTCGTTGGCAAAAAGACTCTATTCAGGCTAAAGGGTAAAATAAGGCTCATATGAGGATTATATCTAGGGAATATCTTTGTACGGTTGGGCGTGGAGTTACTTGTTTTATTCCAGCAGCCGGGTTCGGTCTCTTAAATACTACAGGCCAAGGAAATATTACGGATGATAGTACTCGTCTACCAGTATAAGAACCAGAAAATGCGAGTGACATATTTGTATGGCAGAACGTTGTCACTCCATACAAATAATCCTTTACTTTGTCACTCGCATTTTCTGGTTCTTACCCTGGTAGACGAGTAGAAAGGAAAAGAAAAGAAAAACAGGCTAGATTGCACTGTCGCAGAAAGGTCACGTGACTGCCAAGACGTTTGGGGATGGGGTCGAGCTCAATTCCTGACCCGTATATTCTTTAAAATTAATCAATGCAGTTTTTCTTGCAATTAATGAATTAAACACAAAAAGAAAATTAATAAATACTGTTCTTGGTACAAGCCGAGTGATACATGATGACGCACCCGAATCTGATTTTAACGCTACCACCATAGGCAGTTATTATTAATTTACTGAATATGTGCATCCCGATAACTATGATATGATACCGTCATAGCCCTTCCTCCCCTCCTCCTCCAGAAATAAACGAAACAATGATAATAGTCTCCTCGTCCTGGTATGTATGTACTTGTGCCCAACTGCTCTGTTGCTCAAAGTGATTAGTCAGCGATGCCAAGAACCCGTTGGTCATGTCGGCCTTCTTTAATCCTGCCTCCCTCGAGTGCGGGCAGTCTTAGAGCTCCTCGAAAGACTGACCATTTTGGCCGTCCGTTCGATTCGACACCGAAAACGGAGAGGCGGGACCATTAGGGACGGGCCTCGAGTCCGTAGTATCAAGTCACACCTGTGTACGGCATGTTCGCGTAGTTGAATGCAGCAAAGGTCTCTATATTGGTTGTAGATTACCAGGAATAGACTTTCCAGATTGCCTAGCGGTGTCTGCAGCGAAGAAGAGGAAAGAAAAGGCAAAGGGCGAGAACATCTTTTGCCTACCTTGAATTTGTTGCCTGCCTAAACCATATCTTAGTGGGATCCGCAACCTCTAACTCTTCACCATATCGAGCTCGTTCGTCATGATTCTCTTCAATCCTGATATCGATCATTCAGTTCCCAGTGGACTTTTATCACTAGTGTTGGAACCCTTCCCTGCCTCATGCTCATACAGACTAAATGTTCAGGGTGATTCTACCATCGACTTCCTCTCTGGTACACACAAATATGACTGTCTTATGTGAGTAAATAAGGCATCTCTCTTGTACTCAAGTCAGTCAACTTAACGAAGTGCTGTAATTTCTAGACATAAAACTCCTCCCACTGTTTTTAACGAGTAATTCTACTGTTGCTGTAGTTAATTCATCACTTGTGACACTACTATCGTTAATGATAGAGGCATCTTGGTAGGTGAATGCGTGGTATATGGCCCGGATACTTGAAAAAGGAGCTCTCTAGGCTCGTGACAATGGATTTGCACTTATCTTGGCTAAGTACGTTGGAGGCAGAATTTTATTTAGAAGAGGATGTAAGGTGCCACGGTGGTGCAAATCTGAATCCTCCCAAGAGCCTCGACCACAGCGCACCCCATAAGCCTTTAGTTATAGCCACGGGCGAAACCCACCCCCGTCTTGATCCCGCCGACTTACGTTGTAGAAGGCCCTTACGCACGCGTGATGGATTTGGACCGGAGGTGCATCATGAAGTATCACTCGACGCGCTGAGCACGGACGAAAATGGGTGATTGTGGGAAGAAGCATGTCGAGGATGGTATATCAAGCCCCCAAGGGCGAAGACCCCACCTGGTAGATAACCAGCTTCGGGCTGACTTGCTCTGACTCGGCCTGGCCTAACCAAAGTTGTCCAGGCCAGGAATGCATTCCGCCTGCAGGTACCCATCCCCACCCCGCCCGTCTCCAAACCCAAGCTCCTTGCAACCCTCTCCGGATATTTGCTCATAGGTTCAGACCACCCTCCTGACTAGTATAAACATTAGAAACAATCAGGGTGGCCTGGTCCGCGTGGTACGTTCGGTCAATGTTCTCCCTCCTGGTCAATCACTAGTTTTACGCGCGGCAGGATATAAGGCAGGACTGGCATATGTGTGAGAATGGTTTAGGAGACTCCGCTCCGGTCTTCGTTAAAGGGATCATTGCGCTATCACAGACGCGTGACGACCGGAGGTCCGTCATCTCATATCACTCGATGTACCCTTCATAAGTGATGAAAGGTTGATTGATAATACATTATGTGTATGCAGCCCGGAAGCTATGAAACCCAAGCGATGAAAGGTGATCACAGGTAGGCTGGTGTGCTCGAGATTCTTTCTGTTTCTCTTACACCGGTCGTGAGTCGTGACTTATTATGGACAAGTGATAGAAATAGTATACAGCGATTCTGAAAAAGTGTTCGTAATTTAGTTTCAATGTCAGTACCTAGTGTGGCGCACACGTAATGTTGATGTTATCAATGTTGAGATTCAAAACAACGAAAAATATAAAATATAGTTCGTGACTATATAAAGAAGGTAGGTCATTGATCTTATTCTTCATTGATTCTGGGGTTTTTTGATGGCCCACCGCAGTTACATATGGAGAAATGTCTCAGACTGAGATCGGAATCACTAACACTTCTGCACAGTGTCTGTATATACATATGCCATATTCGGTATCACAAGTTTCTTCTTTTTTTCTTCTGCTGCTTTCTTCTAGTTAACACTCTCGCCGATCTACTTTGGTTATATCTGTCAATATGGCACTTCGTTTCTAGCATAATCCACAGTCGTTCTCACCTGGTATACCATTCCAAGGGTAACCACCTATATAAAATAAGCTCTATCTGTTAGTGCTTTTAATCGCTGGGCTTACCCCGAAATCTAATCTTTCGTGCGCAGGGCCAGCTCATTGGAAGACCTGCCTATGATTACTCATCAACTTTCAACATATAAAGGCGGGGCATATGGCATGTATTCCTGACACAGAACCCAAACCCTCGAGGCTCCTTTCTAAAAACAGAATCCGCACTGCGCACATGTCTCCACCGCTCCTCGCTCTCCCGCTCGATCTCCTCCGCATGATTATGGATTTTCTCCCCATTGATCAGACTCTTTTCGCCCTCTCGTGCACCTGCTGTGCCCTCCACACCCTGCTCGCCCCCGTCCTCGCCCCGAGAGTCAACACCGTCCTCCGCTGGGCGGCGGAGAACAACCAGGCCACCCTGTTCGAGTGGGCCATAGCTCAGGGCGCGGCCATACCGTCCGGTCGCGATGGTGCCGCCATGCTCTATAAAGCAATCGACCGAGGAGGATATGCGGGCATTATGCGTGTGCTCCTGGAGCGCGGGGCCGCACACATACCGTCCGGCCGCGATGGAGAGCTCTTACTCGGCAAAGCGGTCGACCGAGGATACGTTGGCGTTGTGCGTGTGCTCCTGGGTCACGGGGCCGACCCAAACAAGGGATTCTGGGGTGCCCCACCACTGGCGAACGCGGCGTGTGGGGGCGATGTGGCCATCGTCAGGATGCTCCTGGAGGCTGGAGCAGACGTTAGTGCGCTGCAGAGGTATTCGGCGGATCTGGCACGGAGGAGAAAGTACTGGGCAATGGCGTCGCTGTTGGATGCACTTGAGCATGGGCATTACAAGTATTTGCCGCGATCGAAGATGTATAGCAAGCGTGGATAGGTGAATAGATCGATATGCCTCTTTATGGTCCAGGATCCGGGATAGTTCATTGCCGCACGCAGTAGAAACGTAATCAGGCATAGTTAAGGCTCTTTTGGGGTGAAATCATCAAAGACTCTAACTGCGAGGGAGGGCTAGGGCTTAATACTTCCATCCACAAACTACGTGAGATCTAGAAAGCCATCTATCTATGGACAATATCCACAACCAACCTTCCTCGCTCCGTTCTCCCCTCTTTCCTGTCTGTTTGCCGGTCTCGCAATGCCCATCCCTGTCCTTCACTGCTAACTGCGGTGGCGGGTAACGGGTGAGTGCGATGTTGCAGTCCAATTGTCAAATGTCACGGCATTGGGGCCCAGTGCGCATATCAAAATTGAATTCCGGCAAAGATACAGCAGTTGTCCCGTCCGTAAATATAAGGTCAAAAGCAGCATAAAGCGCGAGTAATGGAGATTTCTTTAGTAACTAAAAGTTGAGCATACAAAAAAAGCCCGCTGCGGCCAGGACAATACCCCACACCTTGCACATTGAAAACCATCAACCACCTCCGACCTAGCCGAGCCATATTTTACTCGCTCTAAGAAACTTCCCTATAGCGCACATGCCATAAACCAGCGTCCCGATTCTCCCTTGCTTGCTCATTCGGTACCCCTGAAATGCCCATGTGCGTCCTCTGGAGAGGGGCACTTCCACCGACGGCCGCAGAGAGGTCAGGCCTAGCGCAACTCTGGAGGCGGCCCTGCATCATGGGCGGGAAGCTATCAAGTATAACGTCAGCCAACAATCATGAACGGAATACTATTACTACTTACATCATGGGCCCAATACACTCCTCCATGGTCCATAGCTGCGTAGGGTGTGGAGGGTTCTGCATAGGCTTAGTGACAATGGGGACCTCGTTGGGGTTGCCAGAGTCTTCCGTGGAGAGGGTGAGCGTCTTGCTTTCGTCGCCCTCGTATGATAGTGTGAACTGCTCGCGATTCTCACGGCTGACACGGACCTGCCAGGTACCCCCCCCGGTGAGGGAAGTAGCGGCGTAGCCATTGGATTCGCACAGCAAGGAGTTGGATTGCTCGCCGGCATTGAATGTCGCCGTACCGTTCATGAGTGCCGCCATTGTTACTTCCGTTTCGTGGATATGTGGGAGGAGAAAGATGTATTGTAAATGAAGAATGAAGAGGGTTGAATCCAATGCCGGTGGCAGAGCTGGCGGAAGTAGCAGTACTTATACAAGCACGACCTCCCTCATCCATTACGAGGGACTATTCATCTTGGAAATCCTATCATCCCCACCCCGCGCTTCTCTCTCTGGCAAAGCAAGAAAAAAGGGTCGCGTCTGCAGTCCGGTTTGCAATCGGCCCGGTCATGATCTGCATGATACCGTGGATCTGTTTGAGCTCAGCTCGGTTTCAACACTTTACTTTGGCCTTCATTCCTAAACCTTACAGTCACGGAGATCCAGGCCATGTTATCGCCAAGTTGGCTGTTGGCTCTTGGCTGGAATAGCCGGTTAGACCGTTCCTTGCCAGCGGTCCCATTCCTATTTGGATAGCATCTGTGAGCCTCACTTCTCACTTTAAGAGATCTCCATTTTCGAGGTTTATCTACATCAAAATTTAGTTTTCGCTAATACTCGTTCACACCAAGCGAGTTCACCGCCTATCGAGTTTGAAGTCTTCTCTCACGCAGCCAAGAGATATTTGTGTGAGAATTGGTTGCTGCGCTCGGTCGGTGGTAAACTCGCTTGGTGTGGAACGAGGGTAACATACCCCACATTCCCCGCAGCAGGAAACTCGCCGAGGCCTCCATGGATGGCGTCGGGGATAGATGGTCTGTACGGCACCCTAATATTCAGCTCATCAGCTAGAGTACATAGAGTAATCCCTCCGTCCAGGGATTACCACTTGAGTGATTGGTTGAATGGCATGGATCTGCATTAGAAGTTTCCCATGCACGTAATTTTGATCTAGCCAATTTTTCGAGTTATGGCGGTAGCTTTTCCCCTAGATGATCAACAGTATTCATTCCTTTCGAGAACCTTGTTTCCAGTACGGCCGACCGTTCAACTTTGCCAAGAATTGAGTTGATTTGGTAAGGTTTGAGGTAAGGTTTGAGTTGAGTTGGCAATTCTCCGGCATTTGATAAACCAGTTGCAGGGGTTACCCGGTGCTGGGCCTGCCCCCACAAATGCATTTTCTCATACAATACGGGCTGTTATAAAGTTGAAATTGCCAAGAATTACCATTAAAGTTGCTAAGAATTGCCAAGAATTGCCAAGAATCAGGCATGTTAGAAGCTCTATCAGTAGATAAACAAGTATCACCTCCCCGCTCAATCGCGCGGCACAGGAGTATCTAGCGGGTATTTTCTCTTATATATACATCTAACGCATAGTATACTATCTATATTTCAATTCTCACGGTTTAGATTCGACTCCGAATGATGTTATTGATACAATTCGGGCTGTTATAAAGTTGAAATTGCCAAGAATTACGATTCAAGTTGCCAAGAATTGCCAATAATTGCCGAGATTCATGCATTGTATTTATGCAATCCGGCACAACAATTACAATTACATTTGTCAAATCACAAACCAAACCTTGGCATCAATTGATACAGATGTCCACAGTCGCCCGGCTGCCCGGCTCAGTTGTTGGCGCCCCTGCTTGTTTCCCAATTCATGAAATACGCCCAGGTTGCAATACTTCCGAGAGTGTGTGTATTGTGTGGCGATCTCTATTAAAGATCTACGCTATGAGAGAGCTCTTCACCCCCGGATGGTTGTGGTGCGTACAAGGTGAATATCGATATGCCAGGCTACCTCGTGAGCCTTGTCGCCACACTGGCAGAGAGATCGCAAGCTTTGAGCATAGAGCTCCGGGGTTGTGCTGCCGGCATCATAATGTCTTTGCCTATTAGGAAATTCGCCGACGTTGCATACATGTAGGTCAATCTTGCTAACGATTATTAATCAACTCACCAAGGTTAGGAGATCGACAGGATTCTCGAGAAGATGCATCTAGTACCGAAAAACTCACCAAAAACTAACTTGTAGAGGAAATATCTGAAGCTGATCTCCACCAATGAAGAAATCTCTGCACGGAGATAATCAAGTTGGCGAGTTTCTGCGGTAGGTACTCTATGCGCCACCCAGCCCGAGCTTTGCTTTGCCAAGACGATCTCCCAAAGTTCCGTGATGAACAAGCAAGAGAAGCGGGGATTCATGCAAATGATGCTCATCCGGCCAAGTTGTCTTCCCGTCCTCATGTACCTACTCTAGTTTCACGGTCGGGTGTGAGATCTGTACAGATATCGAGCACAAATAAGAGATTCCACAGTCTCGGGGGCCCATCACCTAAACACCTAAATGCTGCCTTGAAACCCTCCCAAGCCTAGTTAGATGCCAAAACGCGCCTCCACCTCTCAGCCCCGATCGCGACCCGGACCCCCCAAACTACAGCATTAACTTACACATGGTACCCCCACCACCCCCTCCCCTCCCATCAGCAACGCGTTGTATAATTTGTTTGATATGGATATGTGGGAGGTTCTACCGCTACTGGTCCGGGTGCTGTCATATATACGTATGGGCGAGCGCTTGTATGGAAGTGAGCGCTCTAGATAGCTACACTTCTCCCCTTCTTCGCCTCAACCTCCCACCTTTCCACCACTGTTTTTGGCTAACCCGCTCACTAATATCTGGCGCGCATTGGCCTCCTGCTCAAAAAGCGTATCGGCCTTATCATCACGGCGGACTGCGGCACCCGCACCGCCGGGGACATCACGAACGAGCATCTCATGACACTGCCGAGTTCCCGCTGCCATACCTGCTGCTCCTGCTGCTGCATGATGTGTGCTGGTGCATACCGTATCTCAAGGCGTCCGCTGCCTACTCGGAGACTGACAACAGAGGATGAGCTACGGGGAGAGTGCTGCCGGAAGTGGAGGAGGAAGGAAGGCGAGCCTTGGGTAGGTTGAGGGCGGGTTAGAGGAGGAGGCTGATGTTTGCAGCAAGAGGCGGAGAGACCTACATGGAAATGGCGGGGGCATGATGGAATTTTATGATGGAATTTTATGTCGGAAGGCGAAGAGAATGCGGATTGGCCGGGGGGTGTTGGTGTAGTAGTTGATAGGGTTCGCACTCCTACATCAATGTGAAGACATCGGGAAATGTATCCCTGGATACATTTCCCGACAAGATTCTGTGTTGATGCATCTTTTCTACTTCTTCCTGCCCTTCCTTGTGTGGCTAATGCATCAACTGATGTATTCTCACGCCTTTTATAATTTAGCGATCATCCGTCAGTAAAACGCTGACCCCAGGAAAAAGCAAATCGTGGGCGGCTTTAACTAACAAATCTTTCATCTCACTTATCAAATAATAGATCCCTATACAGGTTTGGTTCCTCTATCATAGGGGGGTCTACATTGACGGACCATGGGATACCCGGTACAGTGCACACCCCACGTTATGAATGGCTTACCCATGCCCAACCCAACCCAACCTATCATACCCGGGTTGTCCGTTGCAAGTAAATAGTACAAAAGTCGCCTTTTTTGGGGGGTGGTTTAAGGTTCTGATGCCTCTTTTTGTCCAAAATCATCTTAATTTTTCCCATTGAAATGTGGTCATAGCTTATCACTCGGCCTATGGATTACCTCGGTCGATGTTTGCTTGCACCCAAGCCAACCAAAGCTAGTTTACCTGGGTTGACCAAATAACCCATGGTCGGGAGCGTGCGAACTGGTTTTAAAATTTTCCCCGGTTACAATACCTGTATAGACCGCGAGTAATCTCAAGTACACTGCGATACCCTACGGGTTGCGTGCAAGTAGGACGGAGTATTGGTATTCTTATTATTGTTTCTATGATTAGTAATGTATGCAATCAAGTTAAACAAAAAAACAGAGATCAACAACCCAAAGCTGTGATTTAATGAACTAAAGAAAAAAAAAGAAAAAAAGCATGCGAAGCCGCGAGGCCTAACGAGTGATACCGGATGCCCGAGTGACACTATATGATGCGGGAGAGATGACCTTCCCCGCTCAGGACAGAGGCCACCAACATTACGGCACAATAAGGAATGCGGTTCAGTATAGATACCAAAAGGGTATCACGCAAAGCTTATCCACTACTGGGTGCTATTCAACTTCAGTAAGGTGAATGTACAGCTACTCAGAAAAAGTGTTCGTGATTTAGTTTAATGTCAGTGCGCAGTGTAGCGAACCCGTAATACTGGTGTTATGAAAGTTGAGATTCGAAACAACGAAAAATATATAATATAGTTCGTGACTAATTTCGGACTTGGTAAAATATTTATCAATCGCTTAGGTGAATGTGCCTCTTTCCTGCGGCTGATATAGCACCGATTAATTGCATCAATATATTAACTGATAGCTTAGGTGCTAAGTCGTGGGTTAGTTAAGGACAATAGTACAAGTACTTTGATCCTTGCATTGTACTTTATTTTTATCCCATGGAAATGCAGGACACATTTACTGATCCATCTACTCACCATTTAACTAAACCGTCAATGAGCCAATTAACCGCTGAATTTACTGACAAATTGACTGACAGATTGGCTTGAAAACTAACTGATAAAGTCAGCAGTAAAATCGTAAAGTGGGACCGGAGAGATGCATTTAGTGGTGTATCATATAGATGCATTATTCCGGTAACGCGGCGTGAGAAGGGGGATACTTTTACCGATGCATTATCACGGTACATTTCCCACCGTAGTAGGGACTCTTCATTAATTTGGGCGCCATTGGTCACTGGGAAAGTCTTCTCTTGAGGGTTCTTGATAGTCCGCCACCGTTACATATGGAGAAATGTCTCACTCTAAGGGTAGATAGAATAGTAGATAAAGCTCTTGGAGTATTATTTGCTTGGGGTGGTGAGTAGTATCTGTCCAGGGGACGGTGTTGACCCTCCCTGCAATTCTAAATATTTCATATGGCATTGCAACCCTGTACTATGTGAGGTATAAGGTGCTCCTTTTAAGCTGCCGGGACATGTGTGCGGCGGTTGATACAACTAATGTTCAAGTTTTGATAATGCGTTGGGATGTAAGTTTGATAAGTGTAATGATCCAGACAGCCCACGAACACCCACTAGTCGTGAGCAGAATCTTAAATCGGACAGAGAGGCGTGTCCCCGAATCACCAGCTGTAGGTGGATGAAACCTCTGTCCTCGAGGCCAAATTCTCTCAAAAATGACTAGCCACGAGCCAGAGACCGAACTCTGATAGATATTATGTAAGAACGCCTCCCTCTGGATATCCATTTCTGTAGAAATAAGGCATTGCGACATTGGTCATGTATAGTAATTACACATGACTCATAGTAGGAACAGGGGTTTCAGACAAGGCTTAGTGCCAGGATTATGGAATCAAGGGATCACGTGGTATTAGAGTACCTGTATATATAGAGCAACTGGATTCTCACATCGTCGTTGGAACTCTAGCGGCACAATAGTATACCTTTTTGCTTTCACAACTCAACCTCTCACAAGGTCACGTGTTCAAATCACACTCAAGTCATCTTGTCACACACTCCAAACTTCAATTTCCTGTGCTGCCTTTCGTCTGCTTGCGGAGTGAGGGTATGGGTGGCGGTGGGGGATTGGCGACAAACCGCCAAACACCGCCTTTGATATCTACTTCTAGGCTCCTTCGCAGCGACAATACGACGATGTAACAGCCAGAATCCTTATATCGAATAATATTACCCCCGGACTCCAGTGCCCGCCTCTTTGTCGATCCACAAACTCCGCACATTGGAAGGTTAGGGTTAGGGTTAGGGCTAGGGTTAGGGTTGGGCACGATGCTCGCCGCAGGTTTCTCAGCTTTTACACTTGAGCAGTGAAGTTCGGTATGTGGGAAGAAATAACTTGAGTGTGGGTTTAAACACGTGACCTTGTAAGAGGTTGAGTTGTGAAAGCAAGAAAATATACTATTGTGCCGCTGGTGTTTCAACAGATATTCTAATACCACGTGATCCCCTGATTACTTGATTCTTAGCACTAAGCCTTGTCTGAAACCCTTGTTCCTTCTATGAGTCATCCCTTGTACATGCGTAATTATTATACATAACCGATGTCGCAATACAAGCAGGTGGTGGAGCTGAGCTTGTGATTGGAGCCCGTATATACAGCAAGGTTCCTCTGCAGGAATCGGCCACAGGCCGACTACATCCCGCGAGCGCCTGGGGCGAGGCCTCCTCCGGCACATATCCCTTGAGCTATCGACGAGAGATTAAGAGTGGAGCAAAGGTCTGTCTACCCACCGCGCTGGGTCGAGCAATGGAGAAGATAGTATAAAGAAAGCGTACACTACCCACTAGTGGTCGGTGGTGGAGCGAGATGCGTGACTGAGGGAGGTAACGGAAAGGGCGGTGGACAGAAAGAGCAATCTTTGTCGTGACAGAAGGAGGCGGGATATGAGAACGGAGGGAAAGGAGAGGGGGCACGCGGGGGGTGGGGGGGGGGGGAATGCGAGATATAGAGATACACCGAGATTTGATTTTGGGGGGGCGGGTCAAGTTATTAGCCCGATGTCTCGTTTATATTCAACCTTACATACAAGGATTCACTCGACTACATCATCAAAGATCCACCACATATCGGAAATCAGTATATATCATGCCACATCATCCACCAGCCAGCCCGCATGAAATCAATCAAAAAATCAAACACCCGCCCGGCCATGGGACATAACCTTTCCCTCACCACCAATATATTTCTACTTCCGAGCCCTGCCACGATACTCCACCAACAGCGCCTCCATCCCCGCCGCCTGCGTGCTCTGATTATGCATCCCCCTCCCCCCCCCCCCAATCCACATCCCCATCCCTGGCGCCCGCGCCCCCGCCTGCAGCAGCCACCTCACCGTCTCCACATGCCCCCTGCGCATCGCCCTCACCAGTGGTGACGGGGCCCCGTACCCAGCCCCATCAACCGGCACCCCATGATAATCCACCAGCCTCCTGACAACGCTCGTGGAGCCTGCCCTGGCGCGGAACCCAGCAGCCGCAGCCTGCGCTCGTGGTCGGGCGCGCGGATGAGGCGTGAGCTGAAGGACGGGGGGGAGGTTTGCGGTGTGGTGCGGTGATGGAGGAGGAGGAGGAGGGGGAGGCGGGAGCTAGAGAGGTGTTGGGTGGGGTTTAAATCTTGTGTGTGCGCATGTGTGGTGGCAGGGTGCCTGACTTGTGTGATAATCAGATCATCTGAGCCCGAGGCTGCGATTACTGCGGTTCCTGCGGAGGATGATTTATCAAGTACAAGTTACTATAGCCTATATTGAATTATACGCATGTATATACTACTACATACTTCATGTATATAGCTTTTGTCGCGGGTTAGGGTTTCGTGCCCGAGTAGAGTATCCCCCAAAACTCGATTAATTGGCTAGCTCCTGTCAAAATTGCTTCTAGAGTAGGTACATACTTTAATAGAGTATGGGATGCAGATCGACGCCATTCAGCCAATCACCCGAGAGACCGGTAGTTGGCCTCGCACTGGCGGCACCCGGGGGTGTGCAGGTTGTGCTGCGGGTCAAGGCGGAACACAGCGCGCAAGTCGAGAAACATCCCTTGAATACCTTATATAATAGAGGACTTAAATTTGTATATACCAGGCAAGAGAGAAGATGCGGAAGCCGAGTGCGGAGGGGGGGACTCAAGATTGTCAACATATTCTGATAGCATGCGAGTATACGGAAGAGAGTCGGTCCTCGGCCCCCCGGCTGCACAACCATTAAAGACCTCCTTTGGGATACCGGCGAAATTCCAACCTATCAATATTTGGAGCAAGTTCGCCGGGAAGCGCCATCACGGGTATATGAAGTATAAATAATAATAAATAATCAATCAGGTACCGAAGGTAGCAGCTGGCAATGCGGTGAGCGAGTGATGTATCATGAACCTCATCCCAGCTAGTCGCAATAGGACAAGCGATCAGCCCAGGGAACAAGAGCATGGACTATAAGCTCGACAGGATAGGACAAATAAGAAGGGACATGATATTGAAAATATATATAGTATGTATAGGAGCGGTCAGGAAAACAGTACAGTAGCGGGTACAAGGCCAAGCAGCTCGGGGGGACAAAGCAGCAGAGCAGGAAACAAACAACACCGGGAGCAGGAGCGGACACAGAAAGAGGAGCGGAAACTGGAAAAAATGATCGTGGGAAGCTTGGCTACCGGACGAAAGAAACCAGACTACTTAAATGTAGTAATTCCGATACGGTCCGGTTTGAGTTTTGACTAATAATACATGTATGTAACTAGTACCACCATAACTAGAAAAATTGGCTAGATTAAAATTACTTGTCAGGGAAATTTCTGAAGCAGATCGATGCCATTCAACCAATCACCCAAGCGGTAATCCCTGGACGGAGATAGCCAATTTTTTTTCGAGTTTTGGCGGTACTCTACTCGGGTATGAGGGTTAGAACTAGAAAATGCAAATGAGCATTTTGTATGGCAGATCAGCGCCACTCCATACAAATAATCCCTTGCATTTTCTGGTTCTTTATGCTACACGCGAGTACATACATGGGAGATCGTGGAGCCCCCGGCCGCGGGAGTGTCGAACCTGCAACGTCACTAACCGAGAAACGCGGGACGGTCCGCTGCAGAACATTCAGGCTACTAATACATTCGCAACGCGCGATATGCTGGATCGCCAAGATTCTAGGGATTTCGTACGGGATAGCAGGAAATCCGGGATATTAAATTGATTTTGCAGTAAAGGAAATCAAAAATTTAGAGGATTTCGTAGAGATCCGGTGTATTGAGCCACAGTGAAGATTATCTTCTTGATCTGGTAATTACTTGGCATGAAATCGCTCCAAAAATGCCAAGACAGCGTATTGATGCGAGAGGTATGATTACCTATTGTAGAAACAGGGGTCTAAAAACTCTCCCATATTTAAAATGTGATCACTCAGCCTGTCGCGAAAATGCTGACCCACCCAAAAAAGACAAGTGCAGTGTGGCTTTACTAACAGATCCCGTTATCTCGCTTATCAAATAATAGATCTCTCATACAAATCTAATTGTTATTGCGGGGGTCAGGCGGCAGCGACCAGCAAGAGGATCAAGGATACAAGAAGGCTCCAGCGACATAAAGTTGTACCCCGCCGTCTTAAAAAGAGATTCCACCGAGATAGGGCTCGACACGCAAGACATCAAAAAACACCTACTACAGCAAGCAGCAAATACCCCCCCCAAAAGATGGAGATGGAGCGTAAGTGAAGCCACGGCTCTTATCCGGCTTACTTATTAACGGAATTTATAGTGAAGGATCGCGAGAAAACGTTGAGATGGTTATCATGTTCTTCCTTTGAAACCGAGGTACGGGAGTTTGATAAAAATTGGGTCCCTGAAACATGCAAATGGGTGAACTCGCTTCAAGAGTACAAGAAGTGGGATGATGCCAGTGCGGGCGCTCCTCAATTTCTCTGGATATTTGGAAAGCTTGGTTGTGGAAAAACATTTCTCTCACACGTAAATCCCCGCATCAATTACTGGCCGGACAATGTTGGAAGAAGATTCTAATGAGAAAACAGTCTATTAGAAAGAGGCTGTCACAAGAGGGCGGTATTGTTCTATACTTTTACTTCAACTCAAAACAGGAGGACAGCGGAAAACAGTCGGCCAAGGGATTCTACCAAACTATTATATATCAACTTCTCAAAGCTCTTGAAGGCACAGCTATATCTGCCGACTGCTACTCGGTTGCACATGAGTTGAGGAGGTAAGCTACTTCGAACCCTCTCGACAAAAAGCGTTTGAGCTCATGGTGCCTTCGCATAGAAATACCGGAGCCAATACTTCGATCACCAACGAAAGTCTTCTCAGCACTCTAAAGAACATCCTAATAAAGATCGGGACGAGGGTCACTATAGTAGTTGACGCTCTAGACGAGTGCAAGGAGGACGACCAGGAGTTTGTGGAAAGCAGCGTTTCATTGTGCCGCGATATCCCCTCCCTCAAGGTCGTGATTACAAGCAGGCCGGAATTGAATATAGTTGATCGTTTCAAGAAGATATCGTCAGTAATCAATATCCAACTCGGCTTCTCCAGAACAGAGTCCAATCATGATATTGATCTCTACATCGAGCAACGTCTCCAGAATTCTAAAATGTTGGGTGACAAAATGTTTCCGGAAATGACACAAGAGATAAGGGAAAAGCTCCGCAAGAAGGCTGATGTGAGTAAATCAAATGCTAACCTATATTCGCCCCACGGTACGCTTAGAGTCCTACCGCCTCTATCCGGCAGTGCTGACATACAAGATGGATGATTGCAGGGCCTGTTTCTCTATGTAAGGCTCATGCTCGATCTCCTAGAACTGCAAGTCACAGAAGAAGGCATACGGAATGAATTGGAAAGTCTGCCGGAGACTCTAGTCGGTCTCTACCAGAACACCCTCCAAACCATGGAGAAGAATGCCTCCAAAGATCTACGGGAGATGGCACAACGTGTTCTCCGTTGGGTGCTTGCTGCACAGCGACCACTGACTATCGACGGGCTTATGATGGCGCTCAGGGCTGAGAACCTGAAGACCAAGGAGAACCCAACAATCAGTGATCTAGGCCCCTTCATACCGAATTACCGCGAACGGCTTTGGCAGATTTGCTTTCCGCTTCTGGAAGTCCTTGAAGATAATACAGTACAGGTGATTCACGTATCGTTGAGGCAATACCTCCTCGGTCAAAATATCTCCGGACACGAACCCGTGACTGCTGCAGGCGGAGACCATAGTTACTTCCGATATAACCTCCCGAAAGAGCATATCGAGCTAGCTCTCACATGTGTTGCTTATTTATCTGTCCAGACAATGAAGCCAGTTGGCCTTTCACAGGTCGAAAGTGATGGGAATGTGGAGAAACCCGAGGTGGGATTGGTTGATCTCCTCCGTCACATCCAATTACATGAGCTAACTAGTGAGGAAGGAGTTCTTTGCGTACGCAACTCTCGAATGGACCGGGCATTGCCTATCGTCAGGGGAAGGTTACTTCCGGGAGGAGAGTGACAGAAAGCTCTTGACGTTTTTTCAGGGGCCCGATCAATTCAAGACCTGGACTGAAGACCGCGCGGCCCTTGACGAAAGGTTTGCCGTCTACTTTAACTTAGGAATTGGCACGGGGGGGCTGATAACGGGTAATTAAACACTTCGTCCCTTGCTAGTATACACTTCTTCCTTTTATCTAACATGCAAATACACCCTCTTAGGCCAACTCCCAAGCCTAATCTACATCTGTACATATTTTGGATTAGCCACATTGTCGAGAGCATTGATCACTCAAGACCCGGGTCAACTTGGTCTCCGGGATGCTACCGGTAGGACGCCGCTCCACATTGCCGCGGAGAGAAATTGGGCGACCCTAGTCGATGTTTATATCGCGCAAGCGCTGGAATCACGGAAACAACAATCATATAACCACAAATACCGGAAGTATAACACCACATATAGTCCGTTGGTGGAGTCCAAGGACAACAGCGGGAAGACTGCCCTTCATCTTGCCGCTGCCAGGGGGAACCGTCTCCCTGTGATTAGCCTACGCAAAGCTGGATACAGTGCCGACTCGCCCGACAACCTTCTCCAAACTCCTGTTTTACTAGCGGCGCTATCCGGAGATAGGGATGTTGTTCTCGAATTATGCAGTAACGCTGAATCCCTGAAGTGTGCGAGTAAATCCGGACTTACACCGCTTGATTGTCTCATAACGCATGGGCATGAGGAGACACTTAAAAGCTTGCTTTCGTCAGGTAAAGTGCCGGAAGTCTTGCCCAAATCTTCACACTTGGCCTTTATCACTGCGGCACGTAAGAGCTTCATAGGTGTGGTTGACGTATTACTACAAGCAAAGATCGACGTCAATGCCAAAGATAATATGCAACAAACTGCCCTTCATAGAGCAGCAACATGGGGGCACACCGAGGTGGCCGAATTACTTCTTCGACCAGAGTGGAAGACGGATGTGGATGCGGAAGACCAATCCAACAGAACCCCGCTCTATTTCGCCGCGGCAGGAGGGCATATAGCTATTGTTAAGTGCCTCATACAGGCTGGAGCCAACGTTTATGCCCTCGATAGATGCAATCAAACAGTCCTCTTCGAACCGGCCGGGAGAGGATACACGGCAATTGTAAAGGAACTACTAGGCTCCGGGGTTCGAGCTGAACAGGTGGATCATCGGAAGCGTTCAGCCCTCCATTGGGCTTCTGGATATGGCCGGAGAGGGGTGATAGAGCTGCTACTAAATGCGGGGGTGGATCTGCATGGAGAGGAGAGGGAGAAGGAAACACCACTACATTGGGCTGCACAGAACGGGCACGATACGGTGATTGAACAGCTCATAAACGCCGGGGCCAAGGTTGGAGCAAGAGATGAGCAAGGACGAACACCACTTCATCACGGTGCGTGGCGGGGGATGCAAGCTTCCGTTTACGCTCTTCTGAAATACGCATCCACACCGGACGTTGTCGACAATAATGGGCGTACACCTCTGTACTGGGGAGTAGTATCTGGGGATTCGGGTGTCATACAGACTCTGCTCGATGTCTACGCAAACATCACGGCCGGGGATACGCGTGGCGTAACACCTCTGCATATCGCCGCTCGCTACGGGCATGACGCAGTTTTAAAGCGTTTTCTTGATACCGAAGCCTACCTGGAAGTGAGGGACAACAAAAATGCAACTCCACTACAATATGCAGCTCAAGCAGGAAAGCAGAACGCGATCCGTCTCCTGCTTGATGCCGGCGCATCTCCCATAGCTGCAGACTTCAAAAAGCGGACACCGACATATTGGAGTCAAAGCGAACTGTATGAGGCCAAGGAAAACTCAGAGTCGAAATATCTTTCGCAGCTCCCGAGCATACATGAGGCTGCGAGGAAGGGCGAAGATACCACTATCCGGAATCTCATCACCAGAGGAATAAATATCGATGCAAAGGATGCTCGTGGACGGTCGGCTCTGCACTGGGCGGCTCTCAGAGGTCATAGCGCAGTATTCTTACGCCTTGTCCTTGCCGCCGGGGCCAACATTGAGCTTTCCGATGACGCAGGGCAAACAGCGCTTCACCTAGGTGTCGAAAGTCAATACCCAGCAGTAGTTCGACAGTGCCTAGTAGATGGGGCAGATGTCATGGTAAAGGACTCCCGTGGGCAAACTCCGTTGCACTTGGCTGTGGAGTGGGGGCTGGAGGAGATTGTAACACAGCTACTCGAATCCCCAGGCTCCCGAGTGGTTGTAAGCATTGCAGATAACTGGTCTCGAACACCATTGCACTTTGCGGCGGAGGGTGGATCGAAAGCAATTCTTGTCAAACTCCTGGCGTATGGGGCCTCTACCATAAATAGCTGCGATTATAAGGGTCAAACACCTCTTCATCGGGCAGCGCGTAAGGGACACCACGCCGTCGTTGAGGAACTACTCAAGGCCGGGGCGAAGCTTGATGTAACCGATAACAATACGCGAACGGCTTTGCATCTGGCAGTGAAATATGGATACCCTACTGTGGTCGAGAAGCTCCTAGAGGCAGGGGCTAACGTAGCTGCAAGGGATAAAAGTGGCAGAACAGCGCTCTATCTAGCAGTGGGTAATGGTCATGAGAGTGTAGTGGATGTCCTCCTCAAATCTCGCTCGGGAGTCGACGCCAAGGGCAGCGCCAACGTCAAAGACAGCGAAAACATTACGCCTCTCCAATACGCGGCCGAGAAAGGATGGGCAGGTGTGGCAAAACGTCTTTTGAATGCTGGGGCGGTCATATCAACCCAAGATAATCTGGAAAGAACCGCCCTTCACCTTGCCGCCCAGAACGGCCACAAAGCAACAGTCGATACCTTACTAGATGCTGGGGCGGGCGTTGGTATCAAAGACTATTGGCAGAAAACACCACTGTGCTGGGCTTCAAAGAATGGGCATTATACAATCGTCGCGAGACTGCTGGGTGCAGGTGCCAAGACTGGTGTCATCGGTGATGCGCTGGATACACCTCTGTGTTCAGCGGCCCAAAATAACGATGAAAAGATAGTCAAGTTATTAATAGATGCTGGAGCGGACCCTGACGCTACACTTTATGAAACGGGGGAAACACCTCTTCACATGGCGGTCAAGAATGGCAACCTGGTGGTGATGAGGTACTTACTCGATTCCTGTGCCGATGTTAGAGACCTGGACGCTTCTCAGGAATCACCGCTTCACTATGCAGCCCGCAAGGGTCATGCCAATGCTGCGAAACTATTGCTACAGTGTGGCGCGGATATGGAGGCACGGAATGCCGAAGGGAAAACACCAGCGGATATTGCAAAACTATCACAGCAAACCAAAATCATGGAATTCTTTGTCCGGTTCAGTTCATAACGGACTACCGCAGATGGGAAGGGTCGGATATAGCGGGATTTGAGGTATACTGGAGAGTGTGGGAAATGTTGAGGGGTTAAGCTGCCTCTGTTTGTCTTTCTTTTGTAGCCTATGTGGTTATATTCCATTTAATTATTTGAGTTGGAAGTGAAGGAGAGCTTTCTGGGGAGCTGTGGCCGGGGGATGATACGTGATCGGGGGTCCCTCATTTCTCATAGGCAGCATACTGGAATTGAAGAAAGGAAACGATATTTATCAACAGATTGTAATTCTTGCCCTTGTGATGACATGTGAGATTAACAGGCATACATATATGTGTGCTACCCACAAATGCACATCACCCGCCCCACTCTCCCACCCAGGTCCCCCCTCAGCCCCCGCCCCAATCCGTCCTCCAACCTCTGGACCCCCGCCTAGCGGCTAGCTGACACCCGCTGCAGCCTTCCCTCCGGGGATGACCTCACTCTGAGCTCAGACTTCCAATGCATTGCAATTGCGTGTTGTATGCTGTGTTGACATTGTCAAAATTCCATTACTTGCGCGATAGAAGCTAAAGTCTATAGACAAGGTCCTCACATCGGCGCACTGGCGTTCGTCCGCGCATGCATTATCTCTTCCTGCTGCCTCGACTCCCATTCAAAGAAGATTGTAGAGTTGTTTCTGAAAAACCCGAAAATCTCAGATTTCCGATGGCAAACCCAGCAGCTTGCCCTGTGTAACAGGAAAAACCCTGGGGTGAAAGTAGTGAAATTCTGCAGGTGTTAAAAAGGTTGTGAGTTTTTGGGATGAAAAGATAGCCCTGAGCCTGCTGATTCCGAAAGCGGTCTATATATGCTTTATATCTTGTTTGTTGAGTTATTTTCAAAAACATCGTTCTTCGTGGTAGTTGTCACTGTCCGCTGGCTAATTGCCACTGTTTATCATATGCCTTAATTGCTTTCATCAAGAGTCCTATATTAAGCTCATCTATGAGAATTAACATAGACACCCCCATATCTCCATAGCCCCCAACATATCCCGTGAGCCCTAACCCTTATTTTCAACTTATGTTCACTGCTGTTGCAACGGGCAGACTCATGTCCCCGCCTAAGTACTATAAGTTACACAGCTTACTACTAATGCGGACAATCTTGTGCTACAAGCTTTGGTTAAAGGTGAGTGTCTCATGATGACTAGTGGTATATCTAGATTCATTGCGGGTGCTCTCGGGAGTGGGCGTGGTTCCTCATTTCTGCCCCAATCACAACCCTCCAATGTCCAAAACGGATGTCTGCTGCGATTCAGGGCATACACGGTACAATGAGAAGTTTGGACGTACTAGCAGTAATTAAGTAAACTGTTATGAAGAATGTATGTAGCCACTTCTGTTCTAATTTGATCCGCGGATTGAGCTAGTGATCCTCCGGCAGCTGGGACGGAAAGAGGGGGGGGGGGGGGGGGTGAGATCTGGACGTGTAGGCAGATGGAGGTGGGGGTGCTGAAGGAGGAATATGAAAAATTGTACGGAGCTATCGATTACAGCACGGTACAGGGGAACTCTGCTATGGGGAGTCGGCGCCATGTGGAGGAAATGACGAAATGATTGTCCAACGACGAAGGCGAGCTTTTGATATGGCTAAGTTTTCTCGGGTAGTACTCTCTTCTGCTCATGGGAATCCGCAGCCAGCAATCTCGACGGGCTGATAAAACTGAAGAAACCAGCGGATCTGAACACCTGATCGCAAGGAGCAGAAGGATGGACTGCACTGCCTGCTTCTGCCTGGAGCGGCTCTGTGGAAGCTATCCAAATCCTCAAAGGTCTTGATATCGACATGAATCACCAAAATGAAAATTGTAATACACCGTTGACATTAGCTGCCATCCGAGGACATACCGCGGTGATAGTCGCTCTGTTTCAGACGGAACAGGAAGACAAGTCACATCCCATCGATGCTGGCCTCCATCCACGGGGCTCTTCATATAGCGGCCTTGCGCGGAGATTTGCCATCGGCAGAGTTCCTCCTATCGATTGAGCTCAACGCGAATACTCAGGATATGCGTAACTGCACACCACTTCGTGCCGCTGCGGGGCGAGGGCACGGCTAGATTTGTACGATACTAGAGAACGGCGCCCACACAACGTCCAAAGATTGCAGCACTATCACGCCTCTCCATAAGGAAGTCCAATTGAAGAACAGTACCGGGGTTATCCAGGTGGTATTGAGACAAGGGGCTCAGAAGATGCTCCCGAATGATGCTGGGATTGAGATCTACCTAGCCACCAAGGATGGAACAACCGCGCTCCTCGTTGCCGCCGAATGTGGATCTGGAGAGGTATTCGAGATGCTCCTCGGGTACTACGATAAAACGGATAAATTGGAGTGAATGTGACGGCAACACGCTTCTGCTACTTGAATCACCTTCGAGAAACGCGAGAATCATTGAATTGATTCTCGAGAGGGGTGGTCATAACATCAATCACAAGAACAAGCTTGGAAATACAGCTTGGATATACGCATCACGCAACGGACACTTGGACGCTGCGAAGAAATTACTAGAACTGAGTGGTATGAACGTCAGTATCAGGAATGAGGGAGGGAAATCAGCGTCTGACATTGTAAAGGAGGGAGGGTACGTTGATGTTCTCGCATTGCTTGTACTGTACACGGATAACATGGATGCGTAGAAATGAGTTTTTCTAGTTACCTTGACTTTCGTTTCAGTGTAGCGTAGAGGTTTATTGGCTGATATCGAGGCGTGAACACTATTTTAGGTTTTTTTGTTGTTTAATTCATTGGTTGCATGCAGCATAGTATTTTAGGTTGAACATGAGGTTTTTGTTACTTTGAGGATTATGAAGAGGAACGGGAAGGATAGGGGGCACACTTTTCGCCTGTGGCAGGGGGGCAAGATGCATGTCTTGTTTCAATTCCCTTCTTCAACCGGTGATGCTGAATGCTTTTTGTCTGATTCCTGCCATTTTCTGTCTCCTACCTAATGAAATAAACCTTTACCATCGCCATACCTTTACCATCGCCATAGTCGTGAGGCTGTATTTCATAGAGCTACTGAGTCAACATATATGCACTGTAAAAAGGTTGTAATCGAAAATGAGTTTTCTCTGCGTAGTACGGAAATAGATTTTTCGCCTAAAGAGTCTTTTCAGAAAAGGTCGAATCCAAATTATGGCACGCAGACCCGTAAAGGCGACACGGCGGTATCTGAAAGTGGAGCAACTGTGGCTACACGGTGACTCCTAGGACAACCTGAAATGACGGCCCATATTGGAATATTCCCCAAATGTCAACCTTCCCATCCCGACTGGAGCAGGAACGTGATTGCTTTTAACTATTTCGGGGAATTTCATTGGAATCATTACTAGCCACACCGATAACGATATTTACAAATTAGAAGTCGAAAGCGGAGCATGCAGGAAAGGAAAGAAAACAGAGATAAAAAAAGAATAAGAAGCACCTATACTACCTCGCGCGAGCCAGCCGTGAAGCTTAGTGTGCATGCGAAGAACCCAGTCAGCCAGTAACTTGAAAGTAAACATAACCCACCACAGCTCGAGCGGAAGAGATACGGGGGAAGGGTAGAAGCAGGTCCAACCAGCAACGCGGTGGATCCAACCGGAGAGTTAATGCTCACCTTGAGGTTTATATCCAGTTATCCGCTTGGAGGCGGGGGGGCAGGAGTTTGAAGCTGCAACGGAACCCCCAGATACTCTGCAATCTGACTCCTCCGTAAGATAACCGTCTGATTCGGCACGGGCGGGAGCCCAAGTGCGGCGGACGTCTGCTGACATCCTTCGGCTGTGAACCGAGCACCCTGGGTTAGCAAGCTGATGTCGGTAGAAAGGGGGGGGGGGGGGGGAGGCGAGGGTACGCCTACCACTCAGCGTCAAGACGTCCTGCTGTGTGACCGGCATACCATTTTCGACCGTTACCCCCGGCGGGTAGCGGAGAGGCGCCCCGTCTCCCGCCGTGGCATTGTGAAGGCGAATGGGCAACAGTCTTTGGCTGTTTCTCACTCTGTCAGTCATGCCCAAAGAGGGGGGGGGGGGGTGGGCGAGATGTATTTCACGGGTCAGGGGTAGAAAGAGGGGGGCTTCTGTGTAATATAGAACCTCCTACCTTTCACGAAACTCCTCGCGCAGCTGGCCTATCTGTGTGTGGAGATGACCTACCTCCGCACGGAACTGACCCGCCCCTACCTGGAGCTGACCCATCTCGGCGCGGAGCTGGCCAATCTCTGCTCCCATCTCTGCTCGCATCTCGCCCATCTCCGCTCGCATTGCCGCGATCTCCGTCCGCAACTCGGAAAGGATGGTGCCTAGAGTAAGCTGCATTTCCTGTCGAAACATGGCAGCAGTGAGCGGGATGATGTTCGGGAGGAGCCCGACCTCATGCTTGATCCCATCGAGACACTGAGCAATCACGGCGAAGTTCGGTTCACTGGCCATGCCGGTTTAGTATATTGGGGGGGTGGTGCGCTGGTATATATATAGTTCCCTGGAATATCCTTTAAGCTCTCAATGCTGATCCCACCTATAGAGATAGGGCCGGAATTTGAGTTGTAGATCAATTATTCGTAAAGAGAGATAGCAAGACCTGTCACCAAAGGCCAAAGCCCTTTTCTTTTCATTTAAAGGATTGGTTTGGTCGGGGAGTGTGTGGTGTGTAAAGGGAATGGAGGGCGGGAACCATGGGTGGCGTGATAAAGAGACGAGCGTCAGCCGGGTAACTAAGATGGATGATTCTAGCACATGTGTTACACCACATTTCTACGTGCATACGCTGAACACTGCCCTGCCGCAAAAAATGGCTTCAATAACGGTCCGGAGGTTTGTCGTGTTCTGTCGGTCAGGAGTGCGGCTCTGCAGCGCCAAGTTCACAACCGAGCGCGGGCTGTCCCTGCATAAGCGTGATCTGCAGGTACCGTGCAAGCACCCTTGCGTTTCCTGCCAAGGCGGCAACCGGCGGGAGTTTAATCTTCGGAGGAAAAAGATCAGCGATGCAGGGTCACAGTACCTCTAGGACAATTATGGAAAGATACGAAGAGGTAGAAGAAGACGAAACGAGGGCCAGGTTTTGCATTCATACTACCAGTATGGAGTTTTACAGTCATTATATTTACTTCAATTACTCGATCACGACAATAAGCAAGCAGTTGCTGCACCACCGCCTGAGATGATCTTTATGGACTTGAGCCATACATTCATATTTTATCAAGGACCCTGTCCCAGGATCAATTTTGAAGTCTTGTCTGATGGCCACTTTGTTCATTTTATTCGCTTTACCTTAGATTACCTGATAACCATGTACAAATTAGCTAACAATTGCTTTAAACTACTTCTTTCCTACAATCACCATCAAAGTTCCCCAACACCAGTCAGAATCCTTCCTTTTCACGGGAGAGAGCGTGTTTTTCTGGTGTTTTCTCAGTTAGAACGATCCAACAGGCTGAAAATCTTCCAGTTTCTGTTTGGTTATTCAGAACGAACAATTTCAGGATTTATCAGTTGAATGGATGCTCCAGTTCAGATTGGGGAACTGAGACTTCCTATTGATCAATGACTTTATATCGTGTCAACTCAACAAAGAACAGCTCACTTTATCTGCCGGGAGGTTGTATTCCTGGAGAGCCATATTAGAGAAGTGTGGAAGATTCATTGATTGTACAGCTCGATATCAGAAGTGAGGATCGAGCGCAACGGTGTAGAGTGTAGAGCGCGCGCGCTCAACCATTTTTCACAACCCAGGATAGTGACGACGACGACATCACAAACTTCAACCACGAGAACCATACCTACTAAAGACTGTAAAACAGGCAGGAGGCAGTGGCCAGAGGGTGTACTATGGCAAGGAATTGGAATAAAGCGGTTTGGAGGCTCTTATTCATCGATTACTAATCTCCTCGAAGTACCAAAGTCAACTCTTGCCCATCCCATTTCAAGGTATGAGAAGACTGGTCAAGTTAGACCCACAATCAGATATGAGAAATCTAAAATCACTACTGCTAGAGATGATAGACAGCTTTCATGGATCGACTAGTGAAGGAACGGGGTTACGAAGAGTTGGATTAGTCAGAAAGGTTCTATTGGGTTCTATTGGGTTCTGTTGATCGCTAATGTATGAGTCATGTTGGATTTGTCATCGTTGGGATTTCCTTGAGTATATTAAGGGGGGTTGTTTGTACTTTCTGTTCTTTTCCTTCTTCTTTCTTTACGCAACGTCTTCTGTATCTACGCTGTCTATTGCTATACAATATCATCGTTCTCTTCTTTCTTTAAGAAGACCGCCGCCTCGCCTTCTCCTCGTCTTGTCGAGCCTTACAAACGCCAGAGCCCCGTAGGACTCCTATTGCGAGCTTCCACACCGTTCCCTATTACACTCTTCGTACCCTGCGGAATACTCGCTACTCACCCCCTTGAGAACAGCTCCTCATCTGAAGTAGACATGAGAGGACAATCCCATATGAGAAACTCCGACAGGAAGTTGCAGTGCAAATTTAAGCTAGAACAATCAAGAAGAGGCCAGCTACACTTGATTTCCACAAGCATATCATGGCTGAAAGACGCAAGCTAACCCCATATGAGGTAAGAAGAATGCTGTAACGGCAACTATGCAATTCGGCTAGGTGAAAGATTGAAGCGTGAAGGGGAGATATTGCGCGGTGGGATTAGGATTTGGAATGGGAGTTTCTGTCACGTTCTTTCTGTTTCTGTTACGCGGAGATATTAGTCAACATTGGACTAGGGTTGGATATGTAAAGAGGTGTTGTCTCGTGCTTCCACCTGTTTTCTTTCTTTCCTTCTTTCTTCACACAACTTTTCTATTTACCCCACGAATATTATTCTTGTCCTACGCTACGTAAAAGGGTTCAACTGGTTTGTCATACCAGATAGAGCCGCCCCATAGTCCATAGTTTTGAACAACCTCTACTACGTCTTCGACTCGGTTGTATTCCTTGGCACTATAGTCCCTCGTCCATAGACACACGTTATATTTAGGTTGCGTCTTTCATCGTCAACCAATACAAAACCACAATCTACAATGTCGGAACACGCCCCTATTGATTATCAACAACTCAACAATAACCTTCAAATCTTTTTTCAAGCGCACCCACCAGTCGATAATGTTCTCAGAACAGAAGCTTATGCGCTTCTTCAACAGTGTCAACATTGTCTGGCTCAATATGCAACGGATTTACAGGAGGTAGAGGGAGAAACTGAGAGAGCAAGAGCAATGTTTGAGCAAAATCTTGCTCCTGCCCGAGCTCAACAGGCTGCTGTTGAGGTTGTTGCACCTGATGAAGAACCCATTGGAGATGATGTTCCACCTGCACCATCAATACCACCCGTTACAGGCACTATCCATCAGTGTAACGGAGGGTCTTTGGACGAGCAACTATAGTGCCAAGGAATACAACCGAGGCGAAGACGTAGCAGTAGGTGTTCGAGACTATGGACTATGGGGCGGCTCTACCTGGTATAACACACCAGTTGAACTCTATGACGTAGCGTAGAACAAACGTGAGATTCATGGAGTAAATACAGAAGAAGAAGAAGAAGAAACTTATATTGCTTTGAAGTACAAGACTTATCGCACGCCGACCCAACCGCCTAACACAAAACCGAACAGAAAAAAAAAAGGGAAAGAAAAGAAAAGAACAGAAAAACAACAACGACGAACACAAACAAGCAAGAACAAAACGAACACGAACAAAAAGCAAGGAATTTCAAAGACAACACGCGATCAAAGAAATCAAACGACAGGGAAATATAACATATCTCAGCGGACTCGGGCGCTGGATCCATCAAAACAAAATTAAAACAAAAACGAAAAATAAAAGGTAAAAGGAAACTACTCTTCCTGGTCCCGTCCCTAATCATTTTCTTCCATCCCCTCCTCCAGGTCCGCCTCCACCTCCACCGACTCGTACCATTTCGAGAGTTGGGCTTTCTTTGCAAATTGTAGGATGAGGTCCGTTTTCAGGTTTGTAAACATCCAGTTTCCCAGGTCATCGCTCCGGGGATTTTCTCTATCAGAGGGGCGCGGATTCGGGCCCACGCTGGGCATTCCATAAGTGTATGTTTCGCTGAGTTTTCCATACCACACTGGCATGGCTCGGGGTCTGTATGTGCTGCATGTTTATCGATTCGGGTGGTTTGACATCGGATTCGAAATACCTTTTTCGCTTCTGTAAGGGTAAGTTTCGCAATCTTGGGAGGGGGGCGGAATTCCCCCCGATGGTGGTAGTTGGGTATTGGTTGTGTGTTCCATTCTTCTAATAGATGGTCGTGTAATAGTTTGTTTTGGTGCCACTTGTCTCTCATATTTCCGGGGGTTTGGTATGGGAGTAGGAGGGAGGCGATTCGGTGCAGGCCTGTCCCTTTGATGTTTGCTTCTCTGTATGGGAGGAGCTCGATCAGGGATTCATTGTTGGGGTGGGTTGCGTCGGTGCAGAGTATTCTGGTTCCGTACTTTCTTGAGCGATATGTCAGGAGGAGTGGTGTGCGCCGCTCTGAAGCATAGCGAGGATCTCGTTGGGGAAACTATCAACTTGGTAAGCTTTTGAAAATAATTCCTCTACAGTGAACGCTCCTTCAGCGGATTCATTTGATAAAGAACCCGCGAACAAACTTAGCTTTGTATCAGGATTTTTTCGCTTCAGAACCACTTGACTCTGATGCATCAACCGTTCATCCCCCTCTTTAGGTAGGTCACCCGACCTCCTAGTCAATGCATCTGGTTTCGCCCCTTGTTTTCCTGGTCGAAACTGTATAACGAAATCAAAGCGTGAAAGGAATTCAGACCAACGAGCTTGTCGGCGATTTAACAGTTTTGTCGTCATAAAATATTCAAGGTTCCGATGATCACTGAAAACTTCGATGGGGAATTGTGCCCCTTCCAAATGGTGTCGCCACTCTTCAAAACATCGTACGATTGCTAGGAGTTCCTTATCGTAGATTTCATAGTTACATTCCGTAGGGGAATGTTTTTTGGAGAAGAATGCAACCGGATGTAGAATCCCTTCCTCATCACGTTGCGATAGAATTCCTGCTGAAACATAGTCGGATGCATCGGTTTCCACCACAATTTTCCGATCCGGATCGAAATGAACTAGTATTGGTGCCGTCGTAAACATTTTTTTCAAAGTTTGAAATGCCTCCTCCCTTTCATCCGTCCATTCGAATTTAACATTTTTCTTCGTCAGACCTGTAAGCGGGGCAACAATTTTTGAATATCTTAGAATGAACCGTCGATAGAAATTTGCAAATCCCAAAAATACTTGAACATCGTGGAGATTTGTCGGTGTAGACCATTCCAGAACATCGACAACTTTCTTCGGATCCATTCTATTTACATTCGGGGTAAGGATTAAGCCAAGATACTTCGTTTCCTGAACTATAAATTCACATTTTTCGGGTTTGAGGTGAACATGATTCTCATCAAGTACCTTTAGAACCTTTTAAATGTGATCTTTGTGCTCTGCGAGGGTCTCGGAATAGATGAGAATATCATCTAAATAGGCCGTTACGCATTGATCAAGGTAGGGGCGTAGAATATCATTGATCCAATGTTGAAATGTAGCCGGAGCATTGGCTAACCCGAATGGCATTACTGTATATTCGAAATGTCCATATCTGGTCCTGAACGCTGTCTTCCACTCATCTCCTTCCGCTATCCTGATCTGATTATATCCCCATCGTGAATCCAATTTGGTGTAGTACTTTGCTCTCGATAGTTTAGCCAAGGTTTCCTTCAGTAACGGTAGTGGATAACAATTTTTAATCGTAATTGCATTGTGGCCCCGGTAGTCGACACATAGTCGAAGTGTTCCATCAGCCTTCTTGACGAATAATATGGGCGCTTCCGCTGGGGATTCACTATGGCGAATAATTCCCTTGGGTAAATTTTCCTGAAGATAATCCCAGAGCGCCTTCAATTCGATTTGGGATAAAGCATATATTGACCCCCATGGTGGTTGCTTGCCTTCTTCCAATACTATCTTCATATCATAGAACGGTCGATGTGGTGGAAGAATTGAAGCATCGTATTCTTCGAACATATGGATATAGTGATGGAACTCCTTCGGTATCAGTTGTTCGATGTCGATAGTAGATTTCTCAGTTGCTGAAACGATGACTGTATGGTGTTCCGGTAACGGAATCGAGATGCCATGAACAACGACTGCAGTTCCACTGAGTGAACAGTATTGGCAACAGCTCCGAGAATCAAAAACTAGTAAATTCTCCTTTGGTCGAATCGTAACATCATGACGTCTCATCCAAGGTATTCCCATCACAATCGGATAGTGTCCTAGCTTCGTTACAAAACATGGCACAATTTCTCGATGGCCATGAATGTCTAGTGAAATATCAACAATATGGGTAATTTTTCCTGACTTGATAGGTCTGCCGTCTATAACGTCTACGTGGCGAGGTATTTTGAGTGGGGTCATTGTGAGTTTGTTGTGGCGTGCAAAAGATTCGTCAATGAAAGCATATCCTGATGCTCCGGTATCAATAAGAGCGTAGGTGGGTACGAAAGTATTTTTATTCTGTGAAATTGAACAAGTTACTACAAGTTGATTCCCATCCATTTCCTCCTCTGATACCGAAAAACCAGAAATACGCATCCTAGAAAAATCCTTAAATGGTCCCTGGGCTAAGCCACTTAGTGCAGGGACAAATCTTTTGCCGACTCATTACTGCTTCCATCATTTTCCTCCTCCCTCAATGCCGCTCCCCTCATCACAGGTCTCCTTGGTTGATTTCCAGTTGCCCTCGCTTGGGGGCAATCCCTAACCATATGTCCAACACCTCCACAATAAAAACATCGGCCCTCAGCTAAGCGGGCATTTCTTTCGGCAGGGGTGGGGCGACGACGTCCTCCAGATAGATCCATGGGTACATCACCCCCCGGGCGGAACGAGGGATGGGGTTCAGTAGTAGGTGCATTAGCAGCCGGGGCGGCAGCACGAGGAGCAGAAACAGGATTTGCTGGTGGGGGACGAGGGGCCGGAGTAGCAGTAGCAGTCCAAGGCTTTTTACTTCCTCGTTTCGCTTCTGCCGCTCGACGGCGGTTATCCAACCGTTGCAAAAGCATCGCACAGGCATCTACCGTCGCAGGAGTCTCATGGTAGTTCATGGATTCATCAAGCTCCGCATTAATCCCTTCCATCAAGGCCTCAATCCGAGAGACCTCATCCATCCCCGACTCAGCAGCATACCGTTGAAACTCGGCAAAATAATCGGCGAACGTCCGATTTCATTGGCGGATGTTCCGGAGGTTCCTTCTCGCCGTGCGCATCCGATCAGGGTCCCCAAAAGCGGTGTCTAAAATCTCATAAAACCGTAACATGGAGGGCAAAGCAATTCCTTCTTCGCCGACATACTGTAGGAACTGGTTGGCAGCTACGCCTTCCAGTCTGCTGAACGCATAGGATAACTTTGATTGTAGCGTTGGGTAGCGATCGACATTACCCAATAACTTAATTCTCATTTGTTGTTTGAATAGGTGGAGTCGTTCTCGATCACGATCCCCCCTAAACACCTCAGGGTCTGGGAGCTTCTCCGACCGATGGGTAGTGGCTGCAACAGGTAGTACTGGGGGTGCGACTGGGGGCTCGTCTCCGATGGGCGGTTCGTCAGGAGCAACAATTTCAACAGCAGCCTGTTGAGCTCTGGCAGCAGCAAGATCTTGTGCAAACATTTCTCTTGCCCTCTCAGCCTCCCCTTCCATCTCCTGCAAATCCGTTGCATACTGAGCGAGACCATGTTGACATTGTTGAAGAAGCGCGTAGGCTTCTGCTCCGATGACGTTATCGACCTGGGGGTGCGCTTGAAAGAAAACTTGGAGGTTATTGCTGAGCTGTTGGTAATTGATGGGGGCGGGTCCCGACATTGTAGGCTATGGTGTCGTATTAGTTGGCGATAGAGGACGCAATCTAGTGTAACGGGGGACTATGGACGAGGGACTATGGTGGCAAGGAATACAACCGAGGCAAGGACGTAGCAGAAGAGATTCGGGGCTATGGACTATAGGCTATGGACTATGGAGCGGTTCTACCTAGTATGACAGACCAGTCGAACCCTATGACATAGCGAGTAACCGAAGTAGTATTCAGGAAGTAGATACAGGATTGGATTGGATTTTTATATTGCTTTGAAGTACAGGACTTATCGCACGCCGAAAACTGCACCCCCTCGTACAAAGGAAAAGAAACAAAGGAAAGCGATGAAAAAAGCGACAAAGGAAAGGAGATAAACGTTGAAGAAGTAAGGAGATATCAGTACGCGAAGGAAAGAAGAGATAATTTAAACGAAAGAAAAGAAACCCAGCCTCTCAGGCATCCGTCTCCTCCCCGTCCTCGTCTTTCTCGTACCATTTCAAGAGTTGTGTTTCTTTAGCGAATTCGAAGATCAGGTCTTCTCTAAGGTTGGTGAACATCCAGTTTTCCCAGGTCTGAGGTCCGGGGATTTTCTCGATGAGGGGTCGTCTGAGTTGTGCCCATCTGGGGCAGTCCATGATGGTGTGTTTGGAAGACTGTTCCACCCCGCATTGGCAGGGTTCGTGGTCGGTGTGGAAGGCGTGTTTGTCCAGGCGTGTTGTCTGACATCTTATTCGGAAGAGTTGCCTTGCTTTGGAGATTGGGAGTTTGGCGAGTTTGTTGTGGGGTTTTAGATTTCCTGGGTGATGGTAGTTTGGGGTTGGACGTGAGTTCCATTCTTCCAACATTCGTTTCCTGAGTAGGTCGGTTTGTATCCATCTTTCCTTCGATCCTCCCGGTTCCTGGAAGGGGAGCATGAGGGAAGCGATTCGGTGTAGGCCGGTTGCTTGTATGTTGGATTCCTTCGGTGGTAGTAGGCTGATGAGTGTTTCATTATTGGGGTGGACAGCTTCCGTGCATAGGATCCGGGTACCGTATTTCCGAGATCTATAGGTGAGGAGGTGCTCCAGGGGTGGGAGGGCGACTTCCTTCAGCAGTCGTTCTAGTTTCGTCCATCGTGGGAGGCCAGTGATTACGCGTGCCGCTTCATGGTATATTGGTGAGAGGGTGCGGACGATATGGTCTGCTCCTGTCTCAAGGGAGTGAGTAGCGAGTATTCCGCAGGGCACGAAGAGCGTAGCAGGGGACGGTGTGGGAGCTCCACGATATGGGTACTACGGGGCTCTAGCGTCGGTAAGGTTTTAAAGGGGACGAGAACAAAGCGAGGCGGTGGTCTTCTTTGAGGAAAGAAGAGAACGAGAGTATTATATAGCAATAGACAGCGTAGATACAGAAGACGTTGCGTAAAGAAAGAAGAGAAGAACACAAAATACAGACGAACACCCCCCTTAATATACTCAAGGAAATCCCAGCGATGACAAACCCAACATGACTCATACATCAACGATCAACAGAACCCGGTAGAACCCAATAGAACCTTTCTGACTAATCCGACTCTTCATACCCCCGTACCTCCACTGATCGATCCATGAAAGTAGCCCCTCCCTTCAAGCGCGAGCTCCTGCGAGCCTTAACCTTAATCTTTCCTTCCAATGGTCCAGGTTTGTCGGGGTAGCGTATATGGAAGCTATCAACGGCGGCGGTATTATCGTGGTATGCGGGGGGTTCCCAGGTAGGGTCGGTATAGCCCGTCCACTTAACAAAGTATTGTAGGCCAGTGTTTCGTAATTCTCGCGAGTCCAAGATTTCCTCAACTGCATACTCCTCCTCTTGTTCGACGATAATGGGCGGGGGTGGTGGTTGAATTTGCCCTGGGACAGGATCATTCGCAGCGGGGTCCAGCAACGACACATGGAAGACGGGGTGCATCTTCATACTTCTAGGCAGGTCGACTCGATACGCATATGGCGATATAATTTCCTTAACGGGGAACGGTCCCAGTTTCTTCCAGTCCAGTTTCCGGGAGTTACGCGTGGTTCGGATGTTTTTTGCTGAAACAAACACCATATCACCGACATCGTACTGTGGGGCCGGCGTTCGTTTAGTATTGACGGCCTGCTCTTGTTGATCCTGCGCTGTACGGATATTGGAACGTAGGTGCTCGTGGAGTTCTTTCATCTTCGAGGCGAAGTCCTTAGCGTTAAGACTCGGTGGGGTCTTGTCCAACGATTTGATCGTCACTGTAAACCGGGGGTGGAACCCATAGTTCGCGAAGAATGGTGTAGCTTTGGTGGATGCGGAGACCTGATTGTTGGCGGAGAATTCTGCCATAGGAAGCCATTTTACCCAATCGTCCTGTTGATAAGAGACATACCCACGTAGATATTGCTCCATTACAGCATTCAGCCTTTCGGTTTGGCCGTCGGTCTCTGGGTGGAAGGCGGTAGACATCCTTGCTTCGATGTTGAGGTGTTTACAAAGAGCCTTCCAAAACTTAGCTGTAAATTGCGTACCGCGGTCGGAGGTGACGTGTGTGGGTAGCCCGTGGAGCTTCCATATGTTTCGCAGGTATAGTCGGGCGACGTCTTCGGAGTTGACAGTAGTATTGCAGGGCAGGAGATGTCGCATCTTTGTTAGCCGGTCAACCACTACCATAATTGCATCGTACCCTTCACTTTCCGGTAGGCCCGTAACGAAGTCCATCGATACCTCCCGCCATGGTTGTTCGGGAATCGGTAAAGGTCGAAGTACGCCGAGTTTTCCATGGGTGTTGGGTTTACTTCGTTGACAGGTGTGACAGTTCCGAACGTAGCGGGCAATGTAATTTCGCATGAGGGGCCAGTAGTAGTCCCGACTGACGAGTTCGAATGTTTTTTCACGTCCCGGGTGTCCCGCAGAGGCAGCGTCATGGTAAAGTTGGAGGATTCGAAGCTTAAGGGGGTCGTAATCAGGGACATATATACTGCCTCGGTAAAGCAATCGGCCTTCGACCTCGGTGCATTCGGCGAGTGATATGTCTTTTGATTGTCGATCGCCTTTATCCCGCATATCCAGTATTTTTTGGGGAAACGGGTCAGCGCTATATCCTTCATCAAATAATTCCTGCAGTGAGGCGTTCTTTTCAGCGGGCTCCTTTGAGAAAGAACCCGCCAACAAACTTAGCTTTGCATCAAGATTCTCCTTCTTCAACACAACTTGACTCTGATGCAATTGTCTTTCATCCCCCTCTCCAGGGAGATCTCCTGATCTTCTTGTCAACGCGTCCGGTTTCCCTCCTTGTTTCCCTGGTCGGTATTTGATAACAAAATTAAATCGTGACAGGTATTCTGCCCACCGTGCTTGTCTCCGGTTGAGTTGTTTAGTACTCATAAAGTATTCGAGGTTCTTATGATCGGATATGACGGCGATTGGGTGTGCAGCCCCTTCAAGTTCCGGTCGCCACTCTTCAAAAGACCGAATGATTGCCAGTAATTCCTTGTCGTAAATCTCGTAGTTGCATTCGGCGGGGGAGTGTTTTTTCGAGAAGTACGCAACAGGTCGGAGGATACCATTGTCATCGTATTGGGAGAGTACACCGGCGGAGACATAGTCAGATGCGTCGGTTTCCACAGTAATTTCCTTTTCCGGGTCGAAATGAGTGAGAACGGGCGCCGTGGTAAAGGCTTCTTTCAGGGCATTGAAGGCGGTTTGGGCTTCGCGTGTCCATCCAAATAATGTGTCCTTACGTGTCAGTCTGGTAAGAGGAGAAGCCAGTTCCGAGAATCCGCGTATAAATCGGCGGTAAAAGTTAGCGAAACCCAGGAATGCTTGTACATCCTTAACTGTTTTCGGGACGGTCCAATTCTTCACTGTTTCCACTTTCCTTGGGTCCATTTTAATACCATTGGGTTCTATAATCAGGCCGAGATAGGTGGTGCTTTGTGTGTGAAATTCGCATTTCTCCGGTTTCAGCAGTATTCCATTTTTTTGTAGGGCTTCCAGTACTTTTTCGACGTGTACTTGATGTTCCTCGAAGGTGTCGCTGTAAATAAGGATATCGTCAAGGTAGGCTGTGCAGAACATGTCCAGGTAATCACGGACGCAATCATTAATAAAATGTTGGAAGGTGGCTGGTGCATTGGTAAGGCCGAAGGGCATTACGGTGTATTCGAAATGTCCGTAACGCGTTCGGAAGGCTGTTTTCCATTCCTCACCCTCAGCCATTCGAATCTGATTGTACCCTTGGCGAAGATCAAGCTTGGTGTACCACTTGGCTTTGGAAAGGCGATCGAGAGTTTCCCGGATGAGTGGTAGCGGGTAGCGGTTTTTGACAGTAAGTTCGTTGAGGCCACGATAGTCGACACAAAGGCGGAGTGTTCCATCGGCCTTCTTAACAAATAGGACAGGGGCACCGGCAGGCGAAGAGCTGGCCTGAATGAACCCCTTTTGAAGGTTGTCCTGTATGTATTGTTTCAGCACGATGAGTTCCTCGCGGGACATACCATAAAGTGGCCCAAAAGGGGGCTCTTTCCCTTCCTTGAGCGGTATCTTATGATCATAGGGGCGGCGAGGCGGCATCCCGTTAGCGAATTCTTCGTCCATCATTTTATAAAATCTCTTATACCGGGTTGGGACCCGGTTCCTCCAGTCTTGCTTAGGGGCCACGCCCGTTGCTTGATCTATTTCTTCAATAGTTGTACTAAAGATTTGGAGTTTGTCTCTTCGAGCAAAGCGACAAAGAGCAGCTGAACTGACGAGGTGAAAACGGGGCGGTGGTGCGACCCCTCTAATGGGAACGGGTATCGGGGAAGAGTTGCACTTGCGTTTGCAGTATTCGGAGTCGAACAGTATGCTGTTGTCCTTAAACCGTAATGTTGCATCGTGCAATTGAAGCCAGGGGATTCCGAGGACGAGTGGATACGAGCCAAGTTTGGTGACGAAGAAAGGGGTAGTTTCATGGTGGGAGTCAATGGACAGCGGCAGATAGCAGAGGTGGGTAATTTGTCCGGAAGATATGGGCCGACCGTCGATGACTTCAAGAGTACGGGGTGATTTAAGGGGGAGAAGTGGGAAGTTGTTATGGCGCGCAAATGTTTCATCAATGAATGCGAATCCGGAGCAACCGGTATCGATCAATGCGTGGGTTTGAATGGATGTTTTATTGTTTATAATTTTACAAGAAGCAACAAAATGATCCCCATCCAACTTATCCTCCACAGACGATACCGAGAAGCCAGAGATAGAAAACGCAGACAAAGGAGAGACATTGGAAGGTCCCGGGCAGGGGCCATTGATCAAGCCCGGGACTACTGAAAACCCGACTCAGAGGAGGCGGGACTAGCGACCGGTGGAGCAGCGGGGTCGACGGCCGTATGGCTGGGTGCGAGGAGGGCGCCTCTCATAACCGGTTGGTTACCGCGCGGGCGATTGGCAGAGGGGCAGTTGGCAAAGACATGACCGGGGTTGGCACAGTACATACAGAGATTGTTGTCCCTTCGCCATTGTTTTTCAGCGGCGGAGGTTTTGCGTTGCCCGTTGACAAAAGTATATCGTTGTTCGATGGCAGGACGTTGAGTGGGGCGGCTTTGGAGAGCGGAGAGGTCCATTGGGGCGAGGCCTCCGGCGGTATGAGATGGGTGTGCGGCAGCAGCGGGGGCGGTGAATTGTCCCATTGTATTCCGAATGGCCCGTTGTTCAGCTTTGCGGCCCCGAACCTGGTTGTCGATTGTCATCAACATGGTGGCATAGGCTTCGACGGTGTTAGGCCTGTCTGTCCGGTATGTCATAGCATCCTTCAGGTCTTCCGACAGTCCTTCGGCCAGGGCATCGATCTTGGCTCCCTCGTTGTAGTCCAGGTATGCCACGATGCGGAGGAACTGCGAATAATAGGTAGCGAAGTCCCCTTTGCCTTGCTTCAGGGCAACGAGTTGGCGACGGGCGGTACCCCGGGGGTCTGGGTCCCCAAAGGAGGCTTCCAAATGGGCGACGAAGGCAGTGACAGAGGAGAAGGGGGCGGCAGGGTTAGCGTTAACGAGTGGGACGACTTGGTCAAGGGCCCTTCCTTCCAAGCGGCTGACGGCGTAGATAACCTTTGCTGCCTCGTTCCGGAACCGATCGTGGTTAACTTCAAGTTTCATTCGAAGTTGGGTAGTGAATCCGGGGAGCTTGGTACGGGTGCCATCGAATTTTTCAGGGTCTGGAAACTTTTCGGACCTGAAGGCGGGGACAGGAGCAGGTGGAGGGGCGGGGGCAACGGGGACAGCGACGGTAGGGGCAGGAGCAGCGCGGGCGACATTGAGGTCGAGGTTGAGCCGGTTTATCTGCTCCTCGAGGTTGTCAATGGTTTCGTTGGCGGCGGTGAGTTGTGTATGAAGGGTGTCCCTTTGGAGGCGGACACGCTGGACGAGGGCGGCGATGTTGTTGAATAGTTCAGCAGGGCCGGCTTCAAACATCTGCCTGAATTCCTCTACATCTTTGGGTGCATTCCATGCAGGTGGGTCGGGGGTGGACATATCGTACGGTGCGGATGACGACGCAACGTAATCTCAAGGGAGTGAGTAGCGAGTATTCCGCAGGGCACGAAGAGCGTAGCAGGGGACGGTGTGGGAGCTCCACGATATGGGTACTACGGGGCTCTAGCGTCGGTAAGGTTTTAAAGGGGACGAGAACAAAGCGAGGCGGTGGTCTTCTTTGAGGAAAGAAGAGAACGAGAGTATTATATAGCAATAGACAGCGTAGATACAGAAGACGTTGCGTAAAGAAAGAAGAGAAGAACACAAAATACAGACGAACACCCCCCTTAATATACTCAAGGAAATCCCAGCGATGACAAACCCAACATGACTCATACATCAACGATCAACAGAACCCGGTAGAACCCAATAGAACCTTTCTGACTAATCCGACTCTTCATACCCCCGTACCTCCACTGATCGATCCATGAAATCCTGTCCACCAGGCTTCTGATCCCCAGAGGAGGGCCGGGAGGAATGCTTGGGTGATTAAGTGGTGGATTGTTTTGACTTTTGCTCCAGGGAGTTGAGCGAGGATCCGGATTCGGTGGAGTGATCGCATTCCGTTGGAGATGGCACTTTCTATATGTGGGCGGAATGAGAGGGTTGAGTCAAGCCAGACTCCCACATATTTTAGACGGTCCTTGGGTTGGATTATGGTGTCCCCGATGGTGACGGTATTGTTGGGTTGGCGCAGTGATGATTTTGTTGGTCTGAAGAAAATGAGGTCTGATTTCTGGGGTTCATATTTGACATTTAGGGGGTTGACTTTGGAAATCCTTTCCACCATTCTTTCGTTGAGGCGTTTCGAGATGAAGGCCGGTGATTTGGATATTTGTACCAGGGCATCGTCATCGATGTAGGTGGTGTTGATTTCTTTTGGTGATGTGGATGGGTTGAGGATTACTCCCGCGTAAATCATGAATAGGACAGGTGAGAGTAGTGAGCCCTGTGGAAGGCCAGAGTTACATGGCTGTGGGGGTTCTAGCTGGTGGTTGAAGAAGAATTGTAATGTCCGGTTGGTATTAAATTCTTTGCACCATTCCGTAAAGTATTGGGGGAACTTCTGTTGTGTCATGATCTGGTGGAGTGAGGAGTGATTCACACAGTTAAATTCTCCTTGGATGTCGTTTGTGAGGATTGCCGGTCTGTCTGGGGTTACACCAGTGGTTTTCTTTTGGAGTAGGTTTTGTTGTATCGGGGTCAGGGTGCGTAGGAGTGCATCTACTGCTGAGATTGTTGGTCTACCTCCAAACTGGTCATCGGACAGGGTTCCAAGGAGGGTCCCGTCGTCGCAGAGCCTCGAGGCGACGATCTTTTCGAGGACTTTGCTGAAGCATTGTAGAAGGGATATTGGTCGGTAAGCTTTCGCTGTTTTGTAGTCCGCCTTGCCTGGTTTAGGTATTGGGATGCACTTTGCTGTCTTCCATCTGTCCGGGTGTACTCCATGCTTCAACATCGCTGAGAACATGTCTTGTATGAGTTGCGGGTTCGCCTTGATGACTGCTTTGATGAATGGGTAGGGGATGCCGTCTGTCCCTGTTGCTGAGTTGGCTGGGCAGGAGTTTATTGCTTTAGATAGTTCTTCTGAGGTGACTGCTTCAAACATGTCAGTAAGATCACAGAATGGGGGTCTGATTTGCAAAGGGGGGTTTTCGGGGGACGTCCAATTTGTGGGGAAGAGTTCAGCCCTAAGAGCTTGGCACTTCCCCGCAAACGTTTCTTCACCTTGTATAGTTGGGATTATAGTTTCCCTTTTCCTCCCGGCGTTCATGATTTTCCAGATTGTACTTCCTTTGGCTTCGGAGAGTTCCTTTTCCCTCTGTTCTGCTTTGGCTTTGCGTACCATGTTGGTCCAGTTCCGGCTTCCTTTTCTCAGTGCCTCTCTGTCCTCCTCTCTCTGTGTGTTCCTTGCTCTTCGCTCTAGGGTGTTGAGGTTCGCCTTTGCAGTTTTAAGCTCTGTGGTCCACCATCGTTTCGACTTTTTGTGTCCGTTGCTGAGTGGGGTGAGTCGGTCAATCAGCTGGTCGATGTACTCTAGAATGAAGTCTACCGATTGTTTGGTGAGGCTTTGGTTTTCCCAGGCTTCTGGGGGTAGGTGGAATTGGGAGATGAGTGAGTCGAGTGTTTTCCAGTCTGTTTTGTGCCATAGTCTTCTTGGTACATGTTGGGGTTTGGAGATTTGGATGTGGATTATGGTTTTCCCATGGTCTGATCCTGCTCCATGCCTGTCCATATTCCACTTCATTTCGTAGTCCAACACTGGGCCCTTGACTAGGGTGAGGTCGATTATGGTTGGTCGGTTGTTGTTTCAGGGGAAATGTGTAAATTCCCCGGGCTCGTTTAATAGATGCAGTTTCTGTCTGTCCATCCATCTCTTGACCCTAGTCGCGTTTCGTTTATCCGATCTGATGGTGTTGGTGTATTCGTGTGATTTGTAGCCGTACAATAGCTGATGGTGGCAGTTGAAATCTCCCATAACTAGGCAGTTCTGGATTGTGGTGATGTTCCTTGAGATGTTGGCAAATGGGCCGCTTCTCCCGGGTGAGTATATGTTGAGGATTTGTGTTTTTTGTTGTTGGATTTCCACCGTTACCGAGACGATGAAATTATCGTGTACGAAGTGGTGTTTTGGTTTTAGGTTACTGTGTTTTCTGATGTATGTTGCGCATTTTGTGTCTTTATTGCTTGCTGTGAAAAGATAAAAGAGAGGTGATTCTGGTGGGTGTCCGTCCTTGTTGTTCCAAGGTTCCTGTAACAAAAGAAAGAGTATAGTGTGGTCCATTTCTGCTTCCTCCACGACTGACTTTGTTGTTAGGTCGTTTCTTGCACAGTTCAGTTGCTGCGCAATAGCTAAGGTTCTCTGTTGTCGATCCATTAGTTGGAGGTTTCCATTTCTTCATTGGGTTCCTCGGTGGCCGGGATGACGATCGGGGCGTTCTCGGGTTCTGGGATCTGCTGGTTGGAGATTTTGGCGTTGACTTGCGCTCTGATCTTGGCCTTGGCTCATTCCGGGCAGGCCATGTCGATTGCTCTGTGGTGTCCTTTGCAGTTGAAGCATCTGATTGGTGAGTGGGTGCATCTGATGCCTCCTGCTCATTCCTTGCATGTGTGTTCAGTTGTTTTGTGGTCAGCTGAGGTGCAATGTCCGCAGCGGCCTGTTGGGTGGCTGCAACGCTCTTGCCTATATCCGTATTCGAGGCAGTTGCGGCACTGGGTGTCGGGGTTGGTGGGGAGATAGGTCTCGAGTTTGCAGGTTCCGTCGAATAGGTTGAAAGAGCGGAGTCCGAGGTTTTCCATTGTGTAGTGTCCTGGGAGTGCAATGACCATAGAGGAGTGTGCCTTTCCGGTGCGGGATTCTGGTTTGCTGAGCCATCGGGGGATTTGTGCTAGTTGTATGGATATTCCATAGTTGCTAGTGATTTCAGATGCGACTAGTTGTCCGGCTTGGAAACCTTCGCCTACTGATGTCGGAATGCCGTGTAGGATAAATTTTGACTACCTGGAGTTAACCCGGATGTCGACGAAGGGTACTTTCAGTTCGGTGAGTGCGTATTCGATTTCCAGTCTGTATTTCATGACCCTGGTTGCGGGGGTGACGAATTTGGATTCCAGGACAAAGTTATTCTTTGAGGTTTGCCTGGCCGCGAGGAGGTGGCAGTCTGGGTCCTGGATTTTGGAGTTGATCTTCTGTCTGATTTCGGTTGGGGTAAAGGGGGAGGCCGAGCTGGTTTCAATTACGATTTCCCAGTTGATTTTGGTGAAGTCTGGTTTGAAGAGGGGGTCCGATTTAGGCTTGGATCTCCTCCTTTGGACCACCTGGAAGTTGGATGGTCCAGGGCCCTTTGCGATGTCGGCGTAGGTTGTGTTTTGTTGTTGTTGGGGCGGGGGGTTCCTTGGGTTCGGTTCCGGGTTCTTTCCCTTGTTCCTGGGCTGTGGTTCAAGGGAGGCCTGTGCCAAAGGTGCACGAGGCTGTGGTGCGTTTGTTGGGGGTGGTGCTCGTGGTGCTGGTGGTGCTGGGTGTTGGGGGGTTTGTTGTTGTTGTTGTTGGAGGCAGTGAATCTTTTCCTGCATCTTGTCTTGCACTTTTGACATTTCGAAGATTTGGTTCGTCATGGTTCTGACAGCTTCTTGGAGCTGATGATTCTGGACGGTCATTTCTTCTCTAAACTTTCTGGCTTCGCTTTCGATTGTGGCGTTAGAGCTTAGGATGTGATCTGTTGCGATTGCCATGACATCTCTAACTACCCAGGCGGTGTAGTTTAGATTCATGACGTCGTGGGTTTCCTGCCGGACGATGCTGAGGTAGAGGTAATCAATTTTGGGGGCGTAGGGCTCGTTGTAGTCCTCAGAAGTTGCGAATTCCGCCCTGGGGTTCTCATTGTTCTGGGTTTCTTCAATGACGGTTGATTGGGTGGATTGGGTCGGGTTAAATCTTGGGGGGGGTGGTGGTCCGGGGGGTGCTGGGGTAGCGAAGAAGGAGGCGAGCGATGTCTGCGACATCATGTCTGTTCCTGTTCTTCTTGGGGCTGGGGAGACTTCGGATAAGGTTCTCTTCCTCCCGTTGAGGTTTGGGGGAGTTGAAGGTCGGTTGGAGATTTTATCCAGCGTGGATACTATAGAAATAGCTCAGCCTGGTATGATAAACCAGGTTAGACCAAGCATTTGTACTGTGTGGAAGGTGAGGGTGTTGTATGTGTAGAGAAAATTCTACAACTCATGGACGAGAGCGTAAATGCACTCCCTGATGAAGTAGTGGATTCTGAGGTACCAGTATAGGACGCGGACTATCGGCATACAGGATTTTCTCTAGAAAAGTAAAGCGAAGCGAAGTTTGAAGTGATTCTTATCGAGGAGGGAAGTGGCGAGCCTTAGCGAGCCGAGTAAATACAGGAAGAAGAAGAAGAAGAAACTTATATTGCTTTGAAGTACAAGACTTATCGCACGCCGACCCGACCGCCTAAAACAAAACCAAACAGAAAAGAAACGAAAAGGAAAAA